GAAAATAAATAAATAAACTTAAAAACAGTTAGAATTTAGGAACTTCGTCTTCCACGATGACGTGAGTTCCGGGAACAGACAGCAGTGATGGTCGTACGCGGTGCGAACGGACTCTGTGCCGCTGAGAAGCGGTCAAAATGGCAGATTTCACGTTATGTGTATTTTCCTGCAATGAAGGAGGACGAGTCCACAACATCCAAACAAAGAAGTGTCTCGTTCCAATAGGTGCCGCAGCCTGTCGGGACAGCACAGGCTCAGACACCCGGAGGCTGGGGTCCTCACAGGGCTGGCCCCGCAGGGGACCCAGCAGGTCTCGACCCTTCAGAGACGCCATGTCTGTCCTCTGTGGCGATGGCCAAGACCCCCCTCCCCCTCCCCCTCCCCACCCCCCCGGGGCTTCCTGTGCCTCTCTTGTCCCCTCGCCCTCACTGGTCTCCGCTGCTTTCTCTTTCAAAGCTGGAGCTGCTCCCTGGCTTATTGGGGTGGGGGAGGGCTGTCTGCCAAAGAGGGGGGTCTTTTGTTCTAGATGCCTGGTCCCCCTGCTGTGGGGGCAGGTGCTGCTGGGCCGGGTGGCAGGGAGAGGGGCTGGGTGGGGGTCTTGAGTGAGGGCCGCAGCCCGACCCAGTGCCACCGGCCTTCAGGGCCCGGCTAGGTGCCCACGTAGATGGACACACGGGAGCTCTTCGTCACCGGGGCTCGAGCGTGGGAAAGCCTTGTCTGGCGCCGTGAGCGCAGCTAGAAGAAGTTGTTCCATCAGCTGCCAAGGTGAGCGGGCGGAACGGGGCAGCAAACCCCACGCCAAAGCGTAGGGCCCCCCGCCCCTCACGGGTGGGTCGCGGCGGCGGCTGACTCACCCCTGCCGGGGCCGCCCGGCCCGCCCTCTCGTCCGCATGCCAACCCTGGGAGATGGGGGGCAGTGTTCCCCCCAGGGGCAGCGGTGGGGGGCGGGGTCTAGCAGCCGGGCCGTCCGTTTCTAGCGCCGTGGCCCTGACCGCGTGGGCATGCTGCAGCCCCAGACACCTGCACGGCCCCGTCAGTCCCGAGCCAGACGCTCTGCGCCCGGGGCCTTTCCCTGATGGCGGGTTCCGGCCCCAACGAGGGACGGAGCTCTTCCCTTAAGACGTCTTCCTTCTCTTGAACGCGTGTGGAAGGTTTGCCCACCCCGTGTACAGCCCCGAAACCTCACCGAGTGCTTCTCTGCAGTTCGCAGATGGGGTCTACCTGGTGCTGCTCATGGGCCTCCTGGAGGACTACTTTGTCCCCCTGTACAACTTCCACCTGACCCCAGACAGCTTCGACCAGAAGGTACGTGTGTGGTCCCCGTCCTCGGAGTGGCCCGGGAATGTGCTCGTTACCAGGGCACCTCTGGCCCCAGCTGCTTCCCGGGTGCCGTTTTCATTGGGGGCACAAGGTCCCACGGGGTGGCTCGGGCACCGCTGTCCCCCGGCTCCCCGTTCGGAGGCAGTTAACTTGCTTCTGCTTTTTTCCCGTTAAAATAATGGGGAGGGGCATCTCGAACGTGTGTGAGTGTGTGTCCGTCCTTGTGGATTGTTTTCTAGGAGAATTCCCCAAATAGGATCGTTTTGGCCCAGGGGCCTAACCTTTGGGGCACCTGGGGTGGCTCGGTCAGGTGAGCATCTGACTCTTGATTCCGGCTCAGGTCACGATCGCAGGGTCGTGGGATTGAGCCCCGCGTTAGGGTCCGTGCGAGCGTGGAGGCTGCTTGGGATTCGCCCCTCTCCCCGCCTTGCGCTTATCTTTCTCTAAGATAACAGAAAAAAGGGGCCCAACCCGTGAACGTGGGCCGCCGCGTCCCCTGTGTCACTGCTGTTTGCGGCCAGGCGTTTTTGCCTCCTGCTCAGGGCTTCCTGAAGTTCAGCCCCTCCAGACAGCGGCTCGTGCGTTGCCTTGCGAAACTTGGCTTGCAGGGCCGTTCAGATTGCTTTGGACTCCCAGGCGTCTGTCATCTTATTTTCCCAAAGCGCTAGACCCGTGAGTCAGAGAGGCGGACAGCGCCAGCGGGTGACGGCAGCCAGGGAAGCATCCGACGGTGGGGCCGGGGCTCATCAGTCCACGTGCTTCTGGCCACCTTGCAGGCCGTTCGCTCGCGGCCGAATGTCGTTCCTGCCTTGCTGCCGAGACGGACTCAGAGCAGAGCAGAGAGGTCCTGGAACATTTGAGCCGTGCTGAACAGAGACAGCACGAGCAAGAGGGAGCGAGCAGAGCTCCCAGCAGGAAACAAGGGTGTCTGTGCTGTTGTTCCGGAAATGAGCACGCAGATCACTTGCTGAAGAGGCTCCTGCGTTCCCAGGCCCGACGTGGCTGGTCGCAGACGCGTTGCTTTCTTTGTTCAGGTTCGTGACGATGCTGGCACGCGCGGTTAATTGAGCCAAGTGGCTGGAACCGGGCTTCTTTCCGAGCTGAGGCTGTGCAAATGGCCGGGGCACCATCTCCCCGGCCCCGGTCTTATTCCCTTTGAAACAGAGAGGAGAGTTTTTGTTGGTTGCTGGCCTGGCCTGGGAGGCGTGAGAGGCCCAAGTGGCCGACCGCCTTCGCCCCTGCGTGAGAGCCGTGAGGGGAAGGCTGTGTCAGGGGACGGCGTCCGGCACACCGGGAGCCCGAGGTGGGGGGGGCCCTGGACGCAGCTCTGTGGGCAGGTGGAACCCACCTTGGGGAGGATGCTGGAATTGTGGTGGATTCTTCTCTGGCACCCCTGCCCTCCCCCGGATCCTCTCCCTGCTCCTCCTGGGGAGTGATGGTCACCACAGCAGCCACTGGCAAGTTCTTTGTGCGCTCGCCGTCTTTATTAGCCTCTGGTCATCAGGACCAGCTCACAGGCAGTGGTGTCTCCCACTGCATAGACCTGAACTCGCTCTAGGCTGGTCCGCGCACTCAAGCTCTCCAGCACTGCGTGTAGATGGGCAGGTGGGCCGGGGCTGCTGGGGGACCACCCACAAAGTATCCTCTGGGGCCCAGACTCTGTGGGGCGCGTTTGCTCCAACCCTGAGAATGTAGCAACTCTGTATTTCCAGGGCGAGGGCGGGCGCTATGGTTCAGTGAGCAAAATGAGAGATGTATCAAGGGCTGCTCTCCCCAAGCAGAGTGAGGACCTGTGTTTTTAAACAGTCGTACTGGATTTTAAAACACGAGACCAGACGGCTCAGACGCCCTAGGCTTCTGCACACAAACAGTACCCTTTGAACTGAGCCGTCGGTGCGACCAGTGGCTTTTTGTTGTTGTTGTTTTTTAATTGTTTTAATGTTTATTTTTTAGAGAGAGAGACAGAGACAGAGTGTGAGCCGCGGGAGGGGCAGAGAGAGAGGGAGACACAGAATCCGAAGCAGCTCCAGGCTCTGAGGTGGCAGCACAGAGCCCGACGCAGGGCTCGAACTCATGGACTGTGAGATCGTGACCTGAGCCAGAGTCAGATGCTTAACTGAGCCACCCAGGCGCCCCTTTTTGTTCTATGATCTTCCTCTGTGGTAGCCACTTTGCTGAGTACCCTGTGCCCATCAGTTACCTTTCTGGAAGACTCCACAGCATCCCTTTCTGTGGGGACTGCAGTGCATCCTGGAGATTCAGCGGTGGTTCTTAACAGGCGTTCTCAGAGTGCTCCTTTCCTTGTGTCCCCCCATCTGATTCTCTCCCTCTGGACAAGGAAACAGAATCTCAAAAGGGCTGAGACACAGCCCAGGCTCACACAGTCAGCAGGGCAGAGCTGGAAGAGCCCACTCCTATTCTGGAACCTTCTATTCCTCTGTCACTTGGCCAGGTTTTCAAAAATCCTTTGAATTGCAGCGAGAAAGGATTGCGGGGCGTCCTGGCCGTGTGGAGGGCTCCCAGGGGCAGCGTGGGGCTTTGGGGCACGGCTGTTAGCTTTTCTGTCTGCCCCATTCCGGGGGGCCCAGGCTCAGGGGGGGGCTTCTCTGCGGGTAGGAAAGGTCAGTGGCGGCGATGGCGTGGCTGAGACGAGAGTAGGGTGGTGGTGACTTCCTGTCTGGCAGTTTCCTCAGACTGAGAAGGAAGCGGGAGGAAACTTGCCCTGCTGAGCCCAGTAGCTGCAGGGAAGGGGGTCTGGGCGGGAACTGCTCTCTGCAGGAGCACTTACGAGGAGCCGTCTCTCTCTCGCTCTCTCTCTCTCTCTCTCTCTCTCTCGGAGTCTCGGGTCAGATCCCACTGTGTGGCGAACGGGGACACTCGTCCTGTTCGTTCCCGGCCTCTGCTCGGGAAGGACCCTCGGGCCTGGAAGAGGCCGTGAGAAGATGTCCCGAGTCAGGCCGCTCGAGGAGCCTTCCAGACCCAAGTCTTCTTCCCGTCTCTCCCTCTCTGCCACCCTGTCTCCGTTGCGACTCCAAGCCTCTTGTGCCCGTGTGGAGTAGGTGGGCTGGACGGTGCCGGCCAGCGTGGGAAGGGGCACGGATCTGAATCCTGCCTCCAACTCGTCCAGCCCCGAGCCTCGCTTGGCACAGGCCTCCTAACCCATCTCAGCCCCGGGGCCTCCTTCGCAAAGTGGCCGGGACATAGCCCACAGCCCTCCTCCGGGCCGGCTCCGTGCACCTCGGGCTGGGCGTCCGACATCCTGCCTGGCCTTCCCGTTTGGCCTTTTCTGACGGCCTCGGGAATGGCCCGGGACCCTCCGGCCCCCTCCATCTGGCCATTTGCAGCCCCGCCCAGCCCTGGGTGTGAACGGCCTGGGTTGTCCCCTCATTGGACCCCTCCCCGCACTGGATGCCTCCCCACACCGGGCCTGTCCCCGACCTGGGCCCCTCCGCCTGCCAGTGCTGCTGGGGGGCCCTAGAGGCCCCTCCACGGTACCCCCAGGCTGCTGTGGGTTTGCCAGCTGAGGGTTATTTTGTCACACATCTTTTTCCTGGTTAATTATTAAAACTAAGTAAAATGCTCATGTTTCTGGTTCACTTACACTGAAATCCTGAAGGTGTTACTGTGGAAAGGATGTTTGATTACTCAGAGCCCCTGGGTCCTTTCCAGCTCTGACTCCACTCTGTGTTTTATTTTTGGTGCCCCCTCATCCGATCTCTAACAACCTTTGCGCTCGGGAGACGGCTGGCTGTGCTTTGGTCACCCTGCATCTCTGTGATCCAGGTGGATAAACACAGCAGACAGGGTGTTATTTTCAATCTCTTCACGACGTGTTAGCAGAACACAAGCTTTCAGCGTCCTTGCGGGCCGAGTGGGGCCTTTTCATTTCGGGAAGATTCCACGTGGGGGTGGGGGTGGGGTCCGCCTTCCTGTGACATCCAGCAGGTGGAGGCCAGCACCAGGGGGCCCCGCGGCCTGTCACCTGCAGCCACCATTGTGCTGGCGTCAGTCCCAGCAGCGTCCCCAGTGCCTGCCCAGTGCCTGGGCCACCGCTGCCCCCGAGGCCCATGTCCTGCCCGGCTACGCACACAGGCTCCGTGTGTGAGGCCCTCCCAGCACATGGTGGGTGGCCGCTCGGTGTGCAGGGCTGAGGGCCTCTGGGACGTGACTTGTCCTCTCTGAGCCTCATTTCTAAAACAGGGTCACTGCCACTTCTCATCGTGTGGCCCTCAGCAGAGCCGGCCCTTGGGGACGCCCGAGCCCTTGAGGGCGGGTTTTGTGCCTTCCCCCCCTGCACCTCTGAGCTGCCTCTGATCACTGGTGAGGGCAGTGAGAACCATCTAGTAAACATCTCCACCCTTCCCTGCTCCCCCGCCCGCCCCATGCCCTGCCCCTGCCCGCCCGTGCCCTGCCCTGGGCCGCTTGGGTCCCAGGGGATGTGCCGACTCCAGGGCCCCCTCTGGCCGTGTTTGTTCCCACCTTGTCCTTTCAGAAGAGAAGCAGCGGGCAGTGGGCGGGCCTGGGAGCGGCTGCAGAGCCTGAGCCCTGCTCTTGCTTCCTGGGCAGGTCCACAACGTGGCGTTTGCCTTTGAGCTGATGCTGGACGGAGGCCTCAAGACCCCCAAGGCTCGCCCTGAAGGTAATGCCCTGCCCCCGGCCCTGCCTACCCCAGCCCCGGTGTCCCCCGTGCTTGTAGCTTCGGGGACCAGGGCCCGGGGGACTGTGCTGGTTTTTAGCAGCCCCTGGACTTGGAGGGCGTGGCCTCTGCCCACGAGCCTCAGGACCTTTGTCCCCCTGCGGGTGCCGGCGCTCAAGCTGAAGATGCTCTTTCCTGCCTTGAAAGGATATTAAAAGCTTGCTGCAGTCAGATGACCGTTGGGTTGATCCCTGACGGCCGGCAAAGGGCAGGGCTTGTGAGCAGGGACGAGGCGCGATCATGCCGTGTGGGGGTCTGAATAGCCGCAGGGAGGCCCGGGGAGCCGGTGGTGTGGCCGCCCGAGCAGGGAGCCTGGGGGACCAGGAGCGGGCCTGGTGCCTTCCTCGGACCTGCCCATTCACAGAGGGCATCGGGCCTGTCGGCCGCCTCCGGCTCGGTGGCTCCTGACCTCCCGTCGCTGCAGCCGTGGCCGGCGGCGGGAGGGTGCCGGGGCCGAGGCCTCAGGACCGGGGAGACCCTGGGAGCCCCGGGTGTCGGTGGGAGCCCCTGAGTTCATTGTGAGGGTGAACCGGCGGGCAGGCCGTTTCTCCTCTGCGAGTCTCGGTCTCCTGTGCCAAACGGGAAGGCGGGGGGGAGGGTTATGCCAGCGCCCTGCACTTGCCTCCTGCTCTGACAAGCTGGGTTTGGAAACGCTCTGGGACTCCGTGTAAGGACAGCTGTTGGCTCACGGCAGCCCCTCAGCCTGCCTTCCGTAAGAGATGCTATTTTTGCTTCTGGGGTCGAGTCCCTGCAGGGGGAAAGCAAGGTGATCGTGCTCTGGCCCGACAAGGGGCTTTTGCATCCCCTGCCAGTTCTACAGGGGAACGGGACTGGGGCCCAGAGCAGGGATGTCACTTGTCTGAGGTCACAGGGCAAGTGAGAACACCCAGGTGCCCAACATCCAGGAGGACCGGTCCCTTTCCCGCCAAAGAAGGCAGCCTAGACTTAGTAGGCTGTCGGATCCTCCGAGGGTCCTGCCGTGGGCTGCCCCCGGCCCCGTCGCCTGACCTCGAGGGGGCAGGATGGAGCAGCAGCCCCCACCCCACCCTGCCCCAGAAAGCCCACCGTCGGTCCTGGCGCCGGATGGCCCGTGGGAGTTGGACCCAGCAAGCATCCTTGGCTGTTGGAGACCCCGCACCACGTGGACACCGCTGGTCCCCAGACCGGCCTCGCTGCAGACTCTGTCCCGGCCATCCCAGGTGCTCACTGAGCGGGCAGGTGGCCTGGGGGCCCCTGTGGCAGTCTGTGTCTCGGGACGGCGCTGCCCAGGGCGTCCCGGGTGTGGTGGCTGTCGGTCTTTAAGCCAAAGTGCTCCGCTGTGGATGTGACAGCTGCCCCGTGTGCTCCTGTGTGCTGGCACTCGGGCTCAGGTGTCCTCACCCCGCCCACGGTTTCTGTTTCCTTCCGCAGATGTGGTAAACCTGGATCTCAAGTCCACACTGAGGGTCCTTTACAACCTGTTCACCAAGTATAAGAACCTAGAGTGACCTCAGAGAGCAGCGGAAACCCCTGTGCAGGGCGGGGAGGCCCGCTGGCTTCCCCTCCGAGCCAGGGTTATCCCCGCCCCCACCCCCACTCCACCCGGCCTTTTCGGGTCGTTGCTCTCAAACTCCCTTGTGCAACTCCTGTAACTCTGCAGCGGGCAGGACCCTTGCGAATCCGGGGTTCTGCGCCCCTGTCTCGTTGGTGCCTCCTCCAGTGCCCCGGTCGCACCCACACCTCCCAGCCCGTGGGAGGGGCACCCTGCGATCCTCTGGACCCAGCGATGAACCACCCCGGGCGATGAGAACAGCATCAGTAGCTCTACCCGAGCCGAGACTCCGCTGGACCGTTCTGGGGGAATCTCCATGGAAGCCAGACCTTTTCCGTAAAAAGCATTTTACGGTTTTAAAAACTGCTTTTAAAGTCCCAGAAGCTTTCGATGGAACAGGAGGGCCTGGGCCGTGTTCTGCTTCTTGACCG